GACAGGGGACACTAAAAGACAAATGAGTAGTAGGAAATTTTATTTAAGAACCCTGTAGAAACAGACAAGGCAAAATCTGATGCAGTCAACACACACAGCTGCTTTTTCTGAATTCTGACTTTCCCAAAAGCAACTGTTAATTATATTCCAAGTCGAGGGACAGCAGCTCGGCGCCGAGTGGTCCTCTCTGCTGCAGCTTCTGAAAGTAAACAAAGTAAAAGCTTCACTTAGTCTGTCGACAGTGCTGCAGTCATTTTACTAATCCACCACATTCACCTGGCAATTACACATACAGTACTACCAAATGTTTGCCATCAACATATTTGATAACGTGCATCATCTGTAAACCGCTTACAGATGCCACCATGAAACTGACAAAAAGGCAGGCCATGTTCCCAGCAGTTCTTCTCAGCAGGATGCTGCAGAAGCCCACCGGGATGAGCTTTGTTTTCTGGTCAACTCCACAGCAAGTCAGGAACGGCGAGTCCTGAAAGCCTTGGTATATGACCACACCCAGAGAAGACTGAAGACGCATGTATAAAACACACCTTTGAGTGATAGGCTGCCGACACTCATCCAACATCTCCAGGATTTAGAATTCTGAAACAAAAGCATTTTATTCAGTTATTCAAGGACATCCCAATTCTCTTAATTTAATTCATTCTATTATGTCCTCATTCAGCTTCCCCTGATCCTGGTAAAAGCTCCAGAGTAGCTATCGAGTCTGACACTGTCACTTCACTGCTTGTGTGTTCTGCAGTAATATCCCAACATGGCCATGGCAGCGAACACGTGGGTAAAGCAAACTACAGATTTGCTGTCTGAGGCATTTCCAACGACACGGCCCTACAGTTAAAGGTCTGTCGGGACAGACCTCAAGAGTTCACTTGTGTTTTTAATCATTGAAACACTCACCTTGGTTGTTGAATCCCTACTGAAGCCTGAGATCAGGAGGCTGTCCTCTGCAGCAGCACAAGTCGGGTGACAGTTTGGCAGTACTGGTAATCTCAACTTCTTCAGTGCAGACAGTGGCAGCAAAGTCTTCCCTTTCACTCAGCCCTCAAATGAACTGTTTCTATAGCCAAAATACACAGCTTCCATCATTAACTTGGAGTTGTGTTATTTTGCCTGATGACATTATGACCAGAAGATAATGATTTTATCAGCTGACTTCTTACCAGCCGTTTGGTTTGGATATGTCTTCAGAGTGAGCAGTGGCCACTGGTGGCCGCCTCCGTATCGCTGATGCTGACAGGGTCACAGCCAGTCTCTCAAAGGTTTTCTTCTCTTGACCCGGTGCTGTGGCTTCCTGTGCAACCATGGCAACCTCAATAACTAGAGTGAGGGAAACAAATACAGTTTTACTCCAAGTTCCCTGGATGATGCATATCTCCTCACCACCAGAAAGCAGACTGATCAGTGAAAAGAGAAAACTTGTCAAACTGCCAACAAGACATTCCCTCAGTTTTAAGCTGCAGCCCAGGTTTGTTTATCTGTGGACAACGAAGAGCAGCAGCCTGTTTGTGTCCAGGCTGACAGGATCAGGGACAGACAGGAGCTGCCACAGTAACTCTGTACCCTGCTGCCATCGATTCTAATAGGGAACACTGACGTAGGATCAGGAAACGCTAGTGTGCACAAGATGTGAAAACAGCTTTTAAAATGTAGAGGGATTCTGAGAGGACGAGCATGTTTCAACAACAAAAACCAGGCCTCCAAACACAGGCAGCATGGAGACCAACGATGCCACATGCTGAGTTCGTCTAGCACTGACTTTTGAACAGAGCAGCTGACGGAGCAGCTGGCTGCAGATACCATACAGTGCCGTCACTCTAAATATCCAGTCACTGGACAGATACTGTTAATGCACAAAGACACACCTACTTACCGCTGCCACAAGTTCATGCGTCTCATCGCCGCAGCCTAAAAGACAAATGACCAACTAAGTGCATGTCAAAGACAACATCTACCAAAGACCTAAAGCACAACACAGCCTGTTCATCCCCCAGAGGAACTGTCAGGGTGTGGTTTACAGCCGATACTGCTTAAACCGATTTGTCAACTTCATTATGTTGTGACTGATCCACATTACCAATAATACATTTATTTATAAAGTACATTTAAAACTAATGTTGACCAAAGTGCTATACAAAGATAACACAAAAGAAAAATGACAAAATTTAAAAATAAAAATATCAGAGCACCTCCTGGCTGCTGCCAGTGAAACGGTCAGAACACTGTCACTTCACTGCTTGTGTGTTCTGCAGTAATATCCCAACATGGCCATGGCAGCGAACACGTGGGTAAAGCAAACTACAGATTTGCTGTCTGAGGCATTTCCAACGACATGACCCTACAGTTAAAGGTCTGTCGGGACAGACCTCAGAGTTCACTGGTAGAGACCACTCATTTAAACGCTCACCTTGGTTGTTGAATCCTTGCTGGAGCCTGAGAACAGAAGGCTGTTCTCTGCAGCAGCACAAGCTGGGTGACAGTTTGGCAGTACAGAGTGAGACATGTACACAGGACCAGAAGCACATGGCGTTATTGGAGCAGGAACACTTTCATTCAGATGTGGACATTCACAGCCTCCCGGGGTGGCTCTCCAAACTGTGGTAAGGTGCATCCTGTTTGCTTTAGACATCTTAGAGATTCATCTAGAAGTCCACCTGTGGCAGTTAACAGAATGAATTGAAAACCTAGAGTTGGCCAAGCCAAGTTACCAGGCAAGCACCTGGAAATGCTAGTGGGCACAGGAGACGTGAAAACAGCTTTTTTTTTTTTAAATGTAGAGGGATTCTGAGAGGATGAGCATGTCTCAACAACAAAAACCAGGCCTCCAAACACAGGCAGCATGGAGACCAACGATGCCACATGCTGAGTTCGTCTAGCACTGACTTTTGAACAGAGCAGCCGACAGAGGAGCTGGCTGCAGATACCATACAGTGCTGTCACCGTTTATTGCTTTTCCCTGTACATCCCCCCCGCATTACCTTGTTCCAGCAGTGCTGAAGGCCTGGACAGAGGAACCCTGCAGAGACAGGATGACCGTGAGAACGTGGTTCTGGAGCCACCAACATACTCAGCTGTCAGTGCAGCATGTAGTTCAGAGAGGCAGCTGTCATTCACACTTCAGAGCAGTTGAACATATTTAGCCAATCATCATAACATTTAGTCCGTGGTAGATGTCTCCTCTAATAAAACACTCACCCAGCTGGCCTGAGGTATTCTCCAGCACCTGGAGGACAGTTACATGGGAAAAGTTCAATTGGTGGGGGGGGGGGCACATTAACTTGAACCAGATTTAACAGCTGTTAGTTCCCATTAGTAACACTGCTGTGGAGAGCTGACAGCAGTGGGTTGCAAGAGAACAACTTGCTCTCTGCACTGTATGAGCTCTACAGCCCACCTGACAGGACCAGAGCACGTACTGTGCCAACAAACAGCAAGTACAAATAGAGCACCTGATGAAGTGTAAGGGGTGTAAAGACCAAAAGAACACAAATGCGAAATTCTAGTTGTGCAGTTCTTTTTGTATATTTATTGGAGAGTTAATTTTGACTATGTTTAAATGGTTAAGGGTGTAAAAAATTGAAAGGTTAATGTTAATATTGGCCAGTCATTACTTTATTTTGGAATAATGGTTATTACTATAGTGTTCAGTAATGTTTTGATTGTGTACTGTGGCTTTAAAAAAAAAGTCACGCCACTTCCCGTCTTAGTTTGCGGGGGAAAAAAGGTTCTGAAGAGTTTGGAAGCACACAGTTTTCTTACCGTACATCTGTAACAAGCTTCCTTTCGACAGTATTCATGTTTAGTTATGTTATAACTTGTGGAATTTGCTATGTTCGGTTTTTTTTTGAGCCGCTAAATTAAACCAAGATATTATATTATTCTTGCAATCGTTGTGGAAATGGACTTTTATGTGGCTCGCTGAAGTGAATGTGACACTGGAAGAGGAGGAGACATGTGCAGGGAGTGAGTAAGACGTTTGCTATCCTTAGAAAATTCAACCTCCACAAGGGGCATCCATCACCTTTTGTTTCTACTGTTCTCCACTAGGGGTGGGATCATGTACACGTACACACGCTGGCCAAACCATGATCGTTCAGACAACATTCAACTTGTCTAAACACTTGCTCAGCATCTTGCTGTAAGGAGAAGCCATTCTTGTTATAACAAGATACTTCATTGGTTTTTACAAGCTGCTTTCACATTAAAATGTCATTATGCTGCTCGTTAATACGACGTACTGTATCTTCTTATGACATTTTGTGATTATAACGTATCTTTTCATTTTTAGTTAAGTCTCGGTCCGCTTTTAACCTTTTGCTGGGTTTCACATTCTGTTGGTGCTTTGTTTTCCATCTTATAACATCAAGGGGTCTCCGCACGCGAAAGCTAAATAACAGTTTGAGGGGTGGGTTGAAACAAACCAATAAATTAACACTGCATTAACTTCTCCCTCTAATTTTCAGCCATTAAGTGAGAGTCAAAATGAACCTGAACAGTATCCCCTCCTCTTTGCTATCTATTGGGATTGGTCAACCAGATGCAACATCACAACAAACAATAGTAACATTTTATTATTGCACCTGTGTCAAGCAGAATAACAAAACCTTTTAAAAAAAAAGAACAGAATTTTAGTTGGACAAACAAAAATGTCCAGGATACCATTAGTACTTGTACTTTCATTTACCACTGAGCAGCCAGCCCAGCAATGGTTCATCTACACTGAAGCCTACTGCCAAGAGCAAACACTGACCTCATGTCCTGGAGGGTCATCACAAACTTCAAGATGAACTGCTCCCCATCACATTCAGCAGTAAGGTCGTAACCTAGAGAAAATAATAAAAAGTTGGTCTTCATTTTATGGTCTAATTAGGGGTAATATGTTCAGGGTAAAAGTCGTGCATGCCTAAACCAACATTAACATTACAGACTGTGCCAGGCCTCATTGTCACCTTTCCGCAACCAACAGGGCAGAGGTGAAAGCAAAACCTGACATTTTATAGCCACTGGTGACCTGGGATCAGCCCAGTGCACGGGACAGTCCCAACGACTAGTGTGCACAGTGGCACTGCAATGCGCACTGAACCGAGTGTCTGGAAACGACCGCGCTGAAAGTCACCGTCATTTCCAAACGTTCCAGCTTATTTGAGATCTCCATAACCCGTACTAGACTCATCTGAAACCCTTTCAGTGTCATTTGTATCATTCACCACTTGTGTTACTATCCAATAATGAAGCGTGTTTTGCAAGTTTGCATTATTATTTAGCCAAGATTTAAATTACTAGGGACACAAGTGTGTCTGAACTGGACCAAGAGTGCCTGTTCTGCGCAATTTTTAAGAAAGCCCTGTGCTATTTTAGCATCGTGCAGGCTAGCAGCTAGCTCAGCATGCTAACAGAAGACAACGTGGTGCGCAAAGTCTTACGACATCACGTTTGATCAATGTCAGGTAAACTTACATACACTTAAACACGACAGTCGTGTGTATGGTGCTAAATGCGTTGTTAAGTATCTGCTGGGGAGTCCGGTAAATAACGCAACTATTTAAACTCACCTTGATACAACTACTCACGAAGAAAAGACCGGTAAAAGGAGGAAACCTCCTGCTCCAAGCTCACTTATATGATGCGTTACGTCAGTGCGTCTGCGTCTTCGTCTTCTTCTTCTTCTGTGGTTTTTAATGACAGCTGGCAATATATTGTTGCGCTGCTGCCGCCTTTCGATTTATATAGTTATAATACTACATTTATTTCCTTTTATGTAACGCCTATCTTCTAGATATTTAAATAGACATCTTAAGCGTCTCCCTTTACCTCCAACTTCCATAATACTTTTTAGTGTCTCCTTCAAACATGCTCCACCGTTTCTTACTGCTGGCATTGCTCACATAACATAGTCTGGTGCTTTCCTATAATCTTAAGTAAGTTATTTAAAATTGAATGTCCAATTCTCATCGTGGTCAACGCTGAACTACCCTTTCCCTTCTATTCGCCGCTTATTAACTGAGCCAGTCATTCTATTCTGCAGTAAGTACAAATGCCTCCCTTTGGTTTTGTTTTTCCCAACACTGTTGCCTTTCCAGAATTATTTTGTGCCACACCATTCTTTCACTCAGAATTAGATAGTTTAATATTCATCTCCACCCATCATTACTGCCCTCTTCACTAGTTCATCTACCTTTTCATTTTCTGGCATGCCCACATGAGCCAGGATCCATGATATTGTGAGTCCACTGCCCCCCCAACTTATTGTTACCAGGATATCATAAAACAAATCCTGTCTGCTGCTCGAAGTTCCATTTCCAATGCTTTGAAGTGCTGACAACGTGTCAGTGCATATTAGTACTTTACCATGTTGATGACGGGCTTTAAAACCAGACTGAGAAAATTAAACAGTGGCGTTTTTGTTGTGGAAGCTCTGCAACTGAAGGAAGGCAGCCTTCTCCTGGCCCTTTGACAGGAAAGGCAGTTTAGGTACCTGTCTAAATATAGAACTGAGGGGTCCTATACCTACACATGTGTTTCCCCTAGGTTTTCAGCTCGGGGGTAGACGGGCACCAACACAAACCCTAGCAGGAGAGTGACTGCTGCCATCTTCACCTTCATCTTCACTGGGAACGTTTAGGAAACGCACATATTTTCGTCTGCTTTTCAGAGGCAGAGAGAAGCTCAGGAGGGTCTGTGAGAAAACCCGACCTGATGAAGGCGCGGCGTGCCGGTCAGGTGAGAGCAGTGTTTGTTCCTGGCGCACCACACTTCATTCAGAAATCTAATAGTTTTACCTTTCCTGTTTCTGTGCAACGATATGTACATAATAAAACTGCGAATTTTAGATGTTTCACAAACCAACTGGTTCCTTCGTGATGTATCCTGTTTAGAACAGTACGAATAACCGGCAGTTTAACCAAAATGAGTGTGTCTTTGTGATGCATGTGTACAGGAGCATATTTATAACTATGGCTCAGGGTTTCAATGAGTGTTTTAGACCAAAGAGTTGGTGTGGTGAGTTTTACATCATACAACCACCAAATTATCACCAGACTGTAACTGATATGGACTTTGATGTACAGTTTGATACAATATGTGTCAGTACTGTGGATTTCATTCAAATTCATTTATGCCACCACTTTCTATAGTATCAAATGTTATCGTTACATATGTACATTGTTCTTGTAATGCACCTTTCTGTATATATTAAGCATAATGATAACATATTTAATGTGAATTAAAGTTTTTAACTATGATTAAACAGGCTTACACAGTGTATTATATATTACATGGGAGTATGACACTAGTTAATCATTCATGCCTTTGCAATCTGTGGCATTAAGCACATAATGGAGTTAGAGAAAATGTCTTTTTAATCTTCTCACCTAAGGAAATGTGAATACATCTCATAAATTGCTCACAACCCTAAGGGAACACTTGATCATCACAGTATAACACCAAGTTAGTTAAACTTCAGGGACATCGATCTGTAAATTTAGGAGGCACAAGTGACAAGAGATCAGTTTCACCTGCTTTGGTTCAAATGAAAGTGACAACAGGTGCAACAGAGAGGCAAAAGCAAAACAACCCCCAAAACAAAATGGGTTTACATATAGTGGCCACAGACACATGCTCTCTCCTCATTCTTCCTGACTGGTTCTTCTCAGGTTTGGTGTTTCGCTCGTGTCCTTGTCAGTACTGGAAGCAGGAGGCAGCACCTGCAGCCCAGTCAGGTTGCACAAACAACTGCTTTGTTAACACCAAGCAGATTTTAACAAACGACTTACTGTCTCATTTCCAGAAACAACTCCAATTGCAACCCCGCCAGCTTTCAACAGGTTGCGGCATCTCATAGACGGTAAGGTCCCCCCCCACAGGGCTGTGTACTGGCATCTCACTACACCGTCTCGTCCTTCAAGAGGTAGCCCCACACATTGGATGAATCATGTCCCACAAGTAGTGGAAAGACATTTCTTTAGGGTAGTGAAGAACAAGTAAGATATTCCACAAAAACAAGGAGTACAGCAGGCCTTTCCCGGCCTTCTGAGCATTACAACCAGGGCTGGTCACAATCAATCTGTGGGCATGCAGGCAGCTCTCCACCCCATCCTACACTCAGCAGTAACCCTGAAGACCCCAGCTGATGTCTTCGTGGCCCCCTGGTGCAACACAGACAAGCATCGTTCCTCCACGTGATTCCGCTCCCCATGCTGGGGTATGTAAGAGTGTTTGTTCATTGTTTTCATCCCAACTTTCTCTGCTGTTTGGTTCTGGGCAGGCAGTTCACACTAGGTTTTAGATATTTTTTCCACTAAAAGAAACTGCCTGGTTCTGCTGAAATTAAAGTTGATGGGTCCCAGATTTCCCCCCAGAACATTGGACCCAAATGCATGACTCTACAGGCACAGAAAAGGTTTGAGTGGTTTATTAATGGTTTACAGAGCCATAGACAGGAAGATGGCTGTGGTGTACAGTTAAGACCGAGGAGCCAGGGGAGGATTTACTTCAGTCTATGGTTCACAGGTCTCTCCAGGCAGTATCCCCTCCCAGTACTGAACAGGCTCAGCACTGCTTTAGCTTCCCAGACAATGCGAGATCAGGCACAACCTGAGGTAGTGGCCTTCTCCATCAGCAGCAGACCAGGAAAGGCAACAGTAAAGTTTATGCTGGCTGATAAAACTATCCCACACAGGGAGAAAATGCAAACAGCTGTGACAACACGGCAGGCCAGGTCAACTAGAACACTTCTCCATGTGCATAGGCAGTAAAAGGCCATAGAAAGGCAGTCACCAAATGCTGAGAACAAAAAGCTGAACTTAATCATCACATACCAAAAATACAAAAAACTGTCAACCAAAACAGGCTGTCAGAAAAAAGTGAATGAACTCCAGAAGATAGTTCTCTGGTGACTTCCAGCACAGTAAGGTTAACGCTGGCAGGAGCAGGCAGAAAACCAATCCAGTGAACAGAAAAACCCACATGTAAACCCATTTTGTTTTGGGGGTTGTTTTGCTTTTGCCTCTCTGTTGCACCTGTTGTCACTTTCATTTGAACCAAAGCAGGTGAAACTGATCTCTTGTCACTTGTGCCTCCTAAATTTACAGATCGATGTCCCTGAAGTTTAACTAACTTGGTGTTATACTGTGATGATCAAGTGTTCCCTTAGGGTTGTGAGCAATTTATGAGATGTATTCACATTTCCTTAGGTGAGAAGATTAAAAAGACATTTTCTCTAACTCCATTATGTGCTTAATGCCACAGATTGCAAAGGCATGAATGATTAACTAGTGTCATACTCCCATGTAATATATAATACACTGTGTAAGCCTGTTTAATCATAGTTAAAAACTTTAATTCACATTAAATATGTTATCATTATGCTTAATATATACAGAAAGGTGCATTACAAGAACAATGTACATATGTAACGATAACATTTGATACTATAGAAAGTGGTGGCATAAATGAATTTGAATGAAATCCACAGTACTGACACATACTGTATCAAACATGGTTTGAAAGTGTAGAGGAGGAAGATGAAGATCGAGGCTGTATCATGTGAGCTGTGGTAATAATAGAGACATGAGTACAAAGCCTAGGCCAACAGTCATGCATGTTCCTGTATCAAACATGGTTTGAAAGTGTAGAGGAGGAAGATGAAGATCGAGGCTGTATCATGTGAGCTGTGGTAATAATAGAGACATGAGTACAAAGCCTAGGCCAACAGTCATGCATGTTCATGGCTCCTGTCCTGTACTTTCTGGTCAGGAATGGACCTCCAGTCATAGAACGCTGCATCTTTATAGATTTACCTCACAGCAATAAAACATGCTAGTCACTCTGACGCATTCACAAGTACAAGTTTGTAAAACTGTAGTTTTTATTTTTAACAACCAACATGCACTTAATTTAATGGGAACCTATGGGTGCTTCATCCAAGGAGTTAAGTGCTAAAAATACACGTCTTATTTGTCCACAGTGAATTTGACAACTCACCCATTTTCCATTCTCACTTCTCTCACCATACTGTGCAAAGGAACAACTCTAAAAAACAACTGTTCTAATGATAATGTCAGAATTTGTGTTGAACAGTCCAGCACATACAACTGAGCAATCTCTCTAATCAAGCAACCAAATGAAAACTAGCAGAAGATTTAAAAGTTAAAAAACCTGCACTCATCCTGTTAATGAGACATCATCAGATCTTACGGTGTCAGAAATTCAAATGCTTTGGGTGAGGAGTGGGCAGTTAAACGTTTGAGCTTAGGTGACTGATTCCACCAGAGCTAGATGTTGTTTTTCAAGGCGTCCATTCTTCTCATGTAGTTTAACTTATCCAGATTGACATAATGTTTGCCAAATTATTCTTAGCATGCCATTCAGTTATTCCAACATAGACTTTTCAAACTGAGATGCAATTATCTCGTAACAGCAGGCTATTATTTTGAAACAAAAGGAACATGGTTGGTTGGTAGGGTACAATGGTTACAAAATGGTTGTGCATAATTTTAGCTTTTTTTTCTAACATATTCTGACTATAGTGGGTTTTTGAGGCAAATACTGAGATCAATATTTCAGAGTTAAAACAAAAAAGCAAACAATAGATTTGCAAAATGTATCATATTAATGGCCCAAAATATCAACCTGGCTAACTTTATGTCTTGAATTGTTGAACGTAAACAATCCACAGACTGCCAAAGCCTCCAATAAATACAAAACATAGTTGTTAACCAGCCAAAATGATTCTGCTCATTCTCATCTGGCTAACTTTGTGCTTCACGTGCAGATTGAGGTCTAATTTTTTTAATGAACTTTTTTGACATAGCCTTTGCCTTATATTGTGAAAGTGACAGTTGTGAAGAATAATTTGGCACCTTTTCATCCAAAATGATGAACATTATTTCTTTATTACAGTCTATCTGTAAGGGAAACAATTACATGCATATTAAAATGACTTTATAGTCTGGGTTGACCAGATGAGGCTTTAGTCCTGATACAGCTGTGAGTAAGCTGCATTTTAGTAAGTTTGGGGTTAAAGATTCCATACTGACTGCTATGACAACACAAGATAAAATTTAAACTTCTGAACTTCCACTGGCACTAATGCAAGCACAAAAACTGTGGCGGGAGCTTCACGGAATGGGTTTCTATGGTCGAGCAGCTGCATGCAAGCCTCATATCACCAAGTCCAATGCAAAGCGTCATGTGGAGCGGTGTAAAGTATGCCGCCACTGGACTGCGGGGCAATGGAAATGTGTTCTGTGGAACCACAAATCATGCTTCTCTGTTTGGCAGTCAGCGGGGTGAGTCTAGGTTTGGTGGATGCCAGGAGAACGTTACCTAACTGACCTGCATTGTGCCAACTGTGAGGTTTGGTGGAGGAAGGATAATGGTATAGGGGCTGTTTTTCAGGGTTTGTGCTAGGCCCCTTACTTCCAGTGAAGGGCGATCTTAATGCCTCAGTATGCCAAGCCATTTTGGACAACACTACTTCCAACGTTGTGGAAACAGTTTGGGGAAGGCCCTTTTTATTCCAACATGACTGTGCCCCAGTGCACAAAGCAAGGTCCATAAAGAGCTTGACTGGCCTGCATAGAGCCCTGACCTCAATCCTATCAAACACCTTTTGGTATGAACTGGAATGCAGACTGTGAGCCAGGCCTTCTTGTCCAACATCAGTGCCTGACCTCATAAATGGTCTACAGATTGAATGGGCACAAATTCCCCCATAAATACTCCAAAATCTTGTGGAAAGCCTTCCAAGAAGAGCGGAAGCTGTTGTAGCTGCAAAGGGGGGACCAACTCCATATTAAAGTCTATGTAGTACTTTTGTCCATATAGTGTATGTCCAAACAGCCACTTCAATGTTCAGTTTGAGCAGACAGGGCAGAAATTGAAATACCGACAGCTGCTAGCTAGCATTAGCTTCATAACTGAGAGATGAGGTCAGGGTGCAGAGTAATTTTTCAGTCTGTTGCTCTCATCAACTGGATGTCTAGGTTCGATACGAGGTAGCTACATTCAGCTAAGGTGATCCATTCTGAAATACCACAGTCCGTAAAGTGAGATCTAAACAATTTAAGCAACTCTTTAGCCAAACAAAACCAGAATGTATTCAGGTAAATACATTGCCTCCCTCCCTGTCCCCAAATTCAATGACACACCTTCACACTCTCTATACTGTGGCTGTACCTGACTGAGGATTTTGTCACTTGCCTGTCGGTCAGCTGTTCAGTGTGACTATCAGTTCTTTTTTTCTTTTATTTTTAAATACAGCCTAGGCTGTCAGAAAATCAACTGTCATGAATTTCAACCACATTAACATCAGTATTTAAAATACAAAAGAGTGACAGGAACATACAGTATTTCTGAGCATTTAAAAATCAAAGACAGCGGCATATAATGCAAGATTTAAATTGACATAAAATGTCAGGCTGCGACATGCATTTGTTCGGATAAGGAGACAGGCAGCACACTTCTGACACGTGGTTATAGCCTAGTTTACCATCAAGTTTGAGCTTCTCACGTCAGTTAACCACAGTGCATGTTGTTAATGTGTGTTTGATGCATGCCAATTGCACTGTGAGTGATTCCTCTTATTTATAATTCCTCACTGAAATGTTTTCCCCATGTATTTTTGTTGGCTCCCTAGTCCTGTTTGGATGGATGCATGTCATAGAAACAGTCCACATAAATGGCTGTGTGTGGCACTTTAATGGAGTTGGGTAAACAAACCGAGCTCACATGACACCGAGCTATGCAAAAGCATCGTTGTGGCAGTCTGTCTTATACAAGCAGACCACAATGTTTGAAAACACTTCTAATGTACAAATCTCACCTTTTACATGGCTTGTTTTAATTTTCTCATTCTGCAATTTGCTAAACATTATCTTGCACTTTGAAAAAAGGCAAATGAGAAATGAGTTGACACCATGGTTGTCATTCATTCAGCTAGATAAATGTTGACCATTTACAAGCAGTTACATGAGGTAGATGCATTGGGAACTCTCCCACAATGCACTAGGGAAAAAAATACGAAGATACTGTACTTAAGTCTCATTTTGTGTGTTTACTGCTCTCATTTAGCTCCACAATAATTCCACTGTTTCTGCACTTTCACCACTGCTAAACATCTCAGACCAGTGGAACATACCAATGAATGATGTTGGTGCATGACTGGTTGGGTTCTACCCAACAGAGGGCAAACCTACTTCTAAGCAATAATCATTAGCCTGCTATGAAATAAAAACCTTGCTTTATATTGTATTATGTCTAAGTATAGGTAACTAAACTGTGATCATTGCATCAACAGATGATTAGTCAACAACTTGCATGTTCTCATTTATTACATAAAAAAACAGGACATTTTTATCTGAAAAGTAATTAATGTTAATGCTAACCCTTGACGTCATGACCCAGCTACTGTAACTACTGACAAATTGTAATTTTTCAGGTTTGGGTTTAACGACTTGTTACTAACAACAGTTCTAGATGAATTTCCAACTGGCTTTGAAAAACCAAAAAAAAAAAAATCCAGCCTCATGTCAAATGGTAAACAACCCAAAATGAATAACTCTGAGGTCTGAAGAACTTAAAAGTCCAGGCTTGTGTTAAATCAACAGCAATTAAATCAAGTTAATTAAGTTAGACAAAAACGATGAACAGGGCTGAGGGGTCTTAAATGCATGTGCAGTAATAATCTAGTCTTGTCTAATATGTTCTGTCAGTTGTCACAAAAACTGGCATTAATTTTAAAACAGATCTAAAAATCAGAACCATCAAACACTCACTGAACTAAATGTAAATTTTTGGTTTGTGTCCAGTCTCTAAATATACCAGTTCTCAGATACTGTGCTGGTTTGTAATTACAATATTACTACACAGACTGGGGTCGACTGCTTGTCAAGTATAAGCCATTTAAGAACTAACAAGAGCAAATACATTAAAAAAAAGTGCCGTTTAATATAAAATTAACATTGCCACTGAGTCAAAAGCAAAATGTACAGCCTGGCAGCATTTAATGTCCACCCTGTCTCCATTTCTTCAAAGTCCCTAATGTACTGTCTGCTGTGTTCCAGAGAAACCTCACTGTCAGAAATCCCAAAATGCTGCTTGGTGGAATGCAACATGACCGCATTTTCTGTTATAAATACATTATAGTGACATTACAGCTAATGCTTTAACTAATTAAATTACTATCAATGACCACAATTGTTTAAGGCTTTGTAATAGGCAGCCATTGCTTTCCACTCATTTCACTGCAGGTTGAAAACTGTACTGCTGGACAACCAAAGCTCTTTAGCACTACCATGTGTGGTCCACATAAATATGGTGTCCATGAATATGATTTGTCATAGAAGGGTGAAAACTGGCTAGAACGTACCAAGCCACTGATGTGTTCGTTCTGTTATCAGCACTGCATGTTGTCAAATCTGTAAATTAAATTTAACACGTACATTCATTAGTTGGCACAATAGCATGTGTTTTAGCTGTAATGTGAACTGAATTTTCAGTTCAGTTTAGAAATGATAATGCATGTTGCTTTGTTTTTCTCAATGTGGCAACATCACTACCCAGCACCACAGGAGTATGTAACTAGTGGCTTTATGCTTTAGCTCATTTATTACAAATCACATAGTTACTGCCAACTATTTTGCAAAGGGGTCAAACTTGTAAGAAGTATAAAAACCAGGCTTATATAAACTTTATGTAATCAATGTTTTGTTTTGTTTTTTACTGTGGCAATTCAGGCATATTGTATGTGCAGGCTGATGATTGTTTGAGCCATTTAATCACCAATACTGACATTAGCATAGATTTCTAAAGTTTTGAATTTTTGGTCAAAACAAGCCTTTTTATCAGTGTCACCTTCACACTGTCAAACTTGTGATGGCTTATGTTTTACGGTTTCTTTCCCAAAAACCAAACAATTTATCAATAAATAAATCTGAAAAATTGACAGCAGAGCTGAACTTTTTCAAATCTGAACAATGGTTGACTAACCGAAAATAGTCAGCTACTACTTTAACTGATTTTTGGTTTTAAGGAAAAATGCCACAGGTTACAGCCTCTGCACTGTGAAATGCCTACACCTTTAATTCAGAAATCATTGGACAGTAGTTTGACAAAAATTAAAAAGATGTTCAGTGTGACAGGTCACAAACCTCAAAATGTATTTTTATAGCACAATGAAATAAATGGAATCAGTGGCTGCCTGCAAAATACAAAAGGATTTCAGATTTTACCATCCTACAGTGGCATACTTTGGAAAATGCTCAATGTTTGACTTGTAGTAAAATGGCTGAAACACAAAAGCAGCGTTCATAATGCTCCTTTAAATTTGACTACAAACAGCATCTCTCTTTGTAATAGTTAGAGATTTTAAAGTGTGAACTTGTACTTTTGTGTTACATTTGTTAATTGGCACAATACTGAATGTGCTTTTATCTGAAGAAGAGGATTTTGTGGTTCAATAATTTCAGTAGTCCAGATTTTTTTAGAGCAGCAGTACAGAGGCTGCTCCAGCAGCTGGTAGTTTCTGACTCATGACCAGAACACAGCATCAGGTGTGTCTACGCTTCAGTGATGGAAAAGGAAAAAAATGTCTGCAGTTTTGTAATGCATCATTGTCACTGTGAGAAACCCCTCAGACCCCACAATCAGCTGTGGTGCTCAGTGGGTGTGTGACTCTCCAGAGTTTGGGGGCACCGTGGGCCCCCCAGCCCCTCTCCTGCCATGGCCCAGGATACAGTGAGCACTGCCGCATCCTTCTTCATCATCGTCTCCCTCGCTTTCAGACGAAGACTCTCCAAACTGTCTGGGCTTCTCGTAAATACAGCAGCCTGGAACACCACATGCAGAATTAGGACTGAGCCAAGTGAACTACATCTACCCTGTCTCCACAGACCCATTGTAAGATCTCAGCTTGAAAAGTGGAAATGGAGCATGATATCTTGTTCAAACACTGGTCAGAAACAGTAACATAAAGAGAGCATGTGGTAAATCTAGCTTTTCAGCCACAATTTGGTTTGATAAATCAAACAGTGCAGCAAAAGGATGAAAAGGCATTGCATTAAGGAAGACATGCGAATGTGTACACACAAGTATGGAAGAGGATCACTTGAGTTCTTAATATAGAATTTAAATAAAATTTCAGGGGAGAAAGTCAGAATTTTGAGAAAAAGGACATTTGAGATTACGGTAATTATTTCATGTGGCCCCGATCACCCATGGGCATTTTTACTCTGTTTTCATTCCTTTAAATTACAGACTTATGGACCTGTCACCAATTCTTAGCCAACATGTCATATATTATTATTTTCAGGATTAATTACTGTAGGATACACAGAAATCCACTGCATTAATTACGTTTCCAAAGAACTCACACTTTGAAGACCTTCTTCCCAGATGCTCGTTGTCAACCGTGTCACTGGACCACTCTACCTTCTTCTCCGTCTTCCTCTTCCTCAGCTTGATTGTCAGACTTCGTCCCTCCTGTAAGATGTGAGATACTGACCATCAAACTAGGCCAGGTGGCCAACTCTTTCTCCACACAGCAAGAAGGTCCTGGAGTTCTCATGCTCTGTCCACAAAAGCATGAGTAGGTGAGTGTTTACCTGCTCTCCCAAAAGTAACGTCTAGTGCTACAAGTTCCCCTTTCAAGGCTCTGGCTTTTGCTTCATAAATAGTAAACAGGGTTATCTATGGCTCAACAAGTGTGGCGTGGGGGGCCATGTCGAAAGGGGGGTCGGGGATGGCATTGCTCTACCTAAACACTTAGGTCCTACCTCCTCATTTGTCCCTCTCTCAGCTGTCCTCTATCCCTAATCACTGTTCCCCCGCTAGGCTAGTTATGTTTTTAATAGTAGGTACCATCTTTTTTAGCATTTGTTAATTAAGTCTTGAACAGTTTGCCGGTCTCTGGTGCTTCATCCAACAAAGAAACCATAGCCTGACTGAAAGCGAGACATGAATGTGATGCACCATGCTGTTTATGGGCTTCCTGGGCAGGTTACTGAGGTCCTTGATTAAATGACAGGTTGGATAGATTTTGCTGTGGCACCACAGAAAATTATTAATAGACACAGTGGTAGATGTTCTTGTACAGTGCTCTTCTGTGCACTCATGGGGCTTTACAGTACAAATCGCCCCATTTGCACCCATTTGAATAGCAATGGTGAAGGCTACCAGGAGCAACTGGAAGTTCAGCAGTGTTAGCACTGGGCCCGGATCTAGCATGGTGCTAGGGTGGGCTGCAATTTCACCAAAAACAAACAGTCTGAGCTTCATAAACACAGATGTTAAGGTGGAAGTGTTGAACTGAAGTGCATACAATTGTGGATGGTGTATAATATCAAAATATAGGCCTATCATTTTTCTACAATGAGCCTGCTTCTACTTTTATTACTTTAGGTAGTCTACCATTTTGTGAAAATACTTTCAATGCAGGACTTTTACTTGTAACATAGTATGCTACTTTTACAGTGTGATATTACTACTTTCACTTAAGGATGTGAATACTTTATCTACTATTGGTACTAACGTAGTTTGGTTACAGAACAAGTTAGATGCTTTATTTAAAAAATCATGCTTATTATTTAGGGTCAATCTAGCTCTGCAATCCACATCAATCAACTATCACAGTCACTGTCAATAAAAAAGAACCCTCTTTTTTTTTCATTCCTTTGAGGGTCTTGTAGCCAAGAGTAAGAAAAAGAAAAGACTGCGCTCAAGGGTCATGACAGGTGCGCTCAGCAAAAAACATCAAAAACAAAAAATGACAAAACGCTTCTGCACTCTGAAAGCTGCCTCAAAATATAACTAATACTTAAAGCATCATGTGGCTGAGACGTTTCAGCATACCTGCCTTCTTCAGTGTAAGGAAACAACACAAATCACGTATTTCTATCCACCGCATGCAACCCGCAGTTACATCCAAAAATAACAATGACTACACTCCACATCCAAAAAAAGGTCAAACAAGGCTGCAGACAAGATGGCGGACCTCTGTAACGCATCACCTCTGTAGCTAACAGGAAATCACGTACCACCATATTGGAAATTGGTTGTTTTTTACCCAAAGTCCCCCTCCATGGTAGCATGCAGATTTAAAAAAATAAAAATTAAATACAAAATAAAATTTGTCAGTTTACCCCTATTTGTATAGAAGTTTGTATAGAATATTATACACACACACACACACATACACATATATATAAATTAAGTTTGCAAAAAATTAGAAGTAAATAAAAAATAGGCCTAATGTAAAGACAATTCAGTCTTTAAAAAGTAATTCTTTTAAAAGTTGTAATGTTTGAATCTAATTTATTAATTGTACAAAGTGAACAGCTAATTTATTAATTGTACAAAGTGAGCCAGCTAACTGGAAAGACCCCCTGTGAGCTACTGATTATTAAAGGCCAGTTCTCCTTAGCCCTGTTTCTGCATCAAATTCACACAACTGTTAAATTCAACCTCAGCAACTGAAAGTGTTACCAAGGTTTAAACTTCAGAACATCAGCAAGGAACACACAGTTCAGAAGCAGAATACCAGTAGTTTTATTACAGTTTTTCCAAATCTATGTATTTTTGTTTTTACAACTATTCATGCCGGCCATGGTCCTCGTGTTTGTAAGACTGATCTGAAAAACAAATGATTTAGTCATTCCTTATGCTGTTCTAGATCAAGCACTTTTCCAGAGGGCTAAAAGACTGACCACAGTAACCCTTTACTATCCTCCCACTTCTCAGTAAAATTCTTGAAAAGACAGGGTACAAATAAGTGTACTATTACTTATCCACTGATATCTATGGTGGTTTAGAATGCTCTCACTGGCCTACATTCCCCATCTTACCTCTGGGACCATGACATCAAAGACAAAGTCCAGGAGTGTTATCTCCACTTTCTTGATTCGTTCACCTACGCCAGCATCACAAAGACATAACCTTTGCAATGGACAGTTATTTGCACATTATGATTGTTTAATCCAGATAAGACCAGCTGTTGTCGTATGCAAATGGGGCAATAATGTTGGCTTTAACAGGCTGTGCACTCCTGCATATTGCAATCAGTTTTGATGGCGCAGATTTCAGTGATTATACCAGGCCCTACAGTAACTTATAATGTTACTGCATGCTATGCTACTAGCCAACATTAGTCAGACTGAGCACCCTAGCAGCTAACCTCTGCTGTCCTGCTTAACATGCAAATGCAACATGATTCAAACTGCTGAACAGAATCAGTTTTAGAAACGTATTTAAACTCAAGATTTACACAAATTTTTGGAGTGCTTGCATGACCAGCAACAGCGAGGCAAAAAAAAAAAAAAGAAAAGCTAACATTATATACTTGGAGCCATTTAACATTTAGAAGAAGAAGCTTTATTTTACTGTAACATGTACAACAAAATTTTGTTTGGAGCCGAGGGGACCCGGGCCACTGTGTGCATACACGCTGCCATCATGGGCAGCTTGGGGTTGTTCCAAAGACACTTTGACATGTGGTCTGCCGGCACCGAGATTCTAACCTCTAACCTTGCTAGTTGGGAGGCAACTGCTCTACCCACCACACCACTGTCGCCAACCTTCCAGTTGGGAGGCAACTGCTCTACCCACCACACCATTGTCGCCCCTCCTTAAGTATTTAGTCCATATTGGTACCTACATTTGTTGGGTTTGTCAACACATTAAAGTCTGATAAATAATACTTGATAAACCCTTAGAAAGGTCAAACTTTTAAAATCCTAACAAAGACTCTGTAACTTACCACTGCTAAATCATCCCACTTTCTTTTCTTCTTCTTATGCATATGTGCAATCTTCTTGGTTTACTGGTAGTTTGCACATGCGTAATGCTGATGTTTTCAGACAAAAATGAGATGAAGAAGATGAGACTCCAACACTGAGCCATTCTGGTATGGACATGCTGTGTTACGGAGGTCTGCCATCTTGTCTGCAGCCAGGTCCCTCTCATTGTAGATGATATTAACAGTCACTGTGTAATACTGTATACCGTTAATATAATGAAACCGTGATATTTGGCGAAACGGTTATCATACCATGAGAATCTAATACTGTTGCAACCCTTTTCCAACAACATTAACTACAGTACATCCCATACTATCTCATAACATTAAACAGTGGGTCAGTATCTTTTCATTATCTCAGTTGATCCAAAACGTAGCATTAATCTACTAGTAAATACAGAAGCAGGCTGTCAGCACTTGGTTCAACAGTGAGCCACGCACAGCCTTTGTTATTTATCTATGCTTTGCTGTTAATACTCCAGCAGCCATGTCTCATACTGTACGTCTAGTAATGTTTGATAGTATGTAAATATTTCTTTATTTTTGTTTGTTGATTGACCCAAAACACAGTCCAGTAAGAGAGAATCTGGAAACTGGAATTTTAGCAGAAACTAAGTTAACCGCCAGACTGAGGCACGCACACTAATGGTTAGCTTTAGCAATGAGCCAAACATCACTTGGTTGTTAAACACCGGTAAGTAGTTACTAGTTAAGAAGACTAAAGTAAAGGGGAGCAACGTATAATGAGAACAGTCAGAATCAACAGTCTGCCACTGCTATACTAAAAATACTACGCATCTAGTTATGTAAGATGGGACAGCAGAGTGGTGGTTAGCGCTGTCGCCTCACAGCAAGAATAATCAGGGTTCGAGCCCGATCGCCCAGGTGCCTTTCTCTGTGGAGTCTACATGTTCTCCCTGTGCCTGTGTGGGTTCTCTCCGGCTTCCTCCCACAGTCCAAAGACATTCATTTTAGGTTGACAGGTGACTCTAAATTGACTCTAGCAGTGTGTGGTTGTTTGTCTACATGTCAGCCCTGTGACAGACTGGTGACCTGTCCAGGATGGACCCTGCCTCTCGCCCAATGTCAGCTGGGATTGGCTCCACCACCCCTGCAAACCCATCCATCCATCCATTTTCCTCCGCTTATCCGGGACTGGGTCGCGGGGGCAGCAGTCTAAGCAAAGATGCCCAGACTTCCCTCTCTCCAGACACTTCCTCCAGCTCCTCCGGGGG